CTGTATTGTGTGTGCCTTTTCCCTCCTGTCAGCCATTATGCAACTTTCACATTGATGTGGTTGCTCTTGCAGTTGTTGGCTGGTATCGCCTCTCTAACAATATTTGCAGCTCTGCCATCTTATAGCCCTGTGCATCCCTTCCTTGCAGAACAGACAGCTGAGCCCAGACCTGCCCGCCTGCAATTCCCGGAGTGGGGGGTGGCTTGTGGTGCACGGCACCAAGACCTACCTACCTGCCTGCTCTTCCAGGGGTGGGGGGTGGCTTGTGGTGCATGGTGCCCAGACCTACCCGCCTGCTATTCCAGGGGCAGGGGGTGCCTTGTAGTGCACGGCACCCAGACCTACCTGCCTGCTATTCTGGGGGCGGTGGCTTGTGGTGCACGACACCCAGACCTACCCGCCTGCTATTCCAGGGGCGGTGGGTGGGTTGTGGTGCACGACACCCAGACCTACCCGCCTACTATTCCAGGGGCGGGGGGTGGCTTGTGGTGCACGCGCCCTGCTCCTGGGCTCTGGTGGTGAGATGTCAGGGACGCCCCTGATGAGGCCTCACGTTTGCAGTGTCAAACCTGCGATTATATGCGTTTAGAGCATATTTCTTAATCCGTATAAATACATGTCACTGATTTGTAATGGTATTGATCAGACTTTGTGGTTGTCTGCACTCAGGTCAGCAGCGTTAAGAGAAAATAGAATTCTGCGTCTCCAGGATGTGATTGGAAACTGGAAATGCGGCTAAACGTGTCTAAATGTATTTTTAATCAGGAACATCTAAAAACAATATTGTTTATATTTCCCATATAACGTTATTAAAGCTAAACACATTAGAGTCAGTGTGAATAAGGCCTAGGATAAGTGACTGTTCCCATTCTGATGTCTGTTCTCCAGGGAAAGTTGTTTTATTGTGTCATTCAGCCTTTTGTATGGCTCTTCCCAGTCAGGGTGTCACGGCGAGCTGTGCTGTGCGTGTTTTGGCGCCTATATTCAAACAGAGGCATCTGATCGTTACTCTGCCCTTTCACCTGTGCAGGTCATGTGACTAGAACAAGTGAAAGACATCGCCGCCCTGGCTTCATTAATTATTCACTCGGAGTCCTATTTCAAAGACTTTTACCTCAGAAGGAATAGAGCTCAGTATGCAGCCATTCTTGTAACGACATTGATATGGCTGACACCGCAGGAATTCAGGGCTATAGGATGTCTCTGTGTGTGGAATGTTTATGGTTCTACACGAATATGAGTAGAAGTTCTAATATAAAGCTTAGACTGTACAGCAGTTGCGGACACACTCCGGCCCTCCAGCTGCTGTGGGACTACAAATCCCATGAATCATTGCAAGATTCTTACAGCCGCAGGCATGACTTCCAGAGACGGATGCATCATGGGATTTGTAGTTTCACCACAGCTGGAGGGCTGACGTTTGCCCACCCTTGCTGTACAGCGATTGGGGGATTTATCAAAACTGGAGCAGACAGACTTTGGGGCAGTTGTCCACGGCAACCAATCAGCTTCTCTCTTTTATTTTCAAAGCTTTACTGAACAAACAGAAGAGAGAAGCTGATTGGTTGCCAAGCAGAACTGCTCCGCATTCTATCTGCCCCAGTGTTTGATAAATTTCCCTCCATTGTGCACATTGCAGAAGAAACTGCCAGGATAGACATTTAGGATTTTTCCATGTATTCTAATTGGGATGTGCAGAAAAATACTACATGCCCTAATGCAAGCACAGTGATCATCCTTGACGCTGGTTACAATTGCCACATCCTCTTCAGGGGGCTGCCAGTAACATAGATTGAGACACCCTCAATGTCTGACACAGCCTGCTGTATAGACTGATTCGGGGGGGGGGAGGGGGGTTCAAGGAACTTTTCCTCAGGGATCCCAACCTGAAAAAAGCAATTTTAGGGAGATGCCCTTCTCATTTCACGCCCTCTGTCCCCCCCCATCTGTGGGGAGGGGGGGTGCTGGGGAAAGCGGATTGACAGTAACAGTGGCTGAGTGCAATAGCTAGTCTGCTATTAGCTATTGCATAATTAAATAGCCAATAGCAATCCAGCTATGCATTCCTATGCTGTTTTTTTTTTTTTCTTTCTCTCACTGACTGGCCCCGACGTCAGAAAACCCCCCCAAAAAAACAGATTGCTGGGAAAGGTTTACTCTGCTAGATCAAGCAGAGTAAACCTTTCCAGAACAAAATGTTTCTCTCCCGGGCGGCCGGGAGCTGCTTTCTGATAGCGGGAGACTCCCGGAGAATTGGGATGTCTGTTTCCTGTATGCTGCATGAGGATACAACACTTTATTGTACAGGTTCAATATTGGTGATGGCTCCCCCTTTGTTAGTCAACTTGTGGTTGGCATGCAGAAAGCAAAGGCTACAGTCCATGGCCATGGTTCCTTCTGCTCCTCGACTTCATCTAGTGGCCATATTGTACTACAATCTTGTTCAGAGATGGGCCGCTCTGCAAAACGCTTTGTAAACTGAGCACTTAAGTTAATAAATAAGCATATTAAACCTCAAATTGTGTGGGCTTGTAAAAAACTAAATAAAATTGTAAATTGGTAACAAGTCACAAAACTTTACAGCTCATTTCAGAATTTAAATCAATTGATGGCCCTAAGAAAAGCTTCTACTTCACGTGTGTGGATATTTGATGCTTAATAGACGTTTTGTGCATACGTACGTATGTTACATGAAAATTTTTGATTTGTGTCCCTGTTGTAATATTTGAAAATTAATTTCTCCACTATGTTTTTATAGCTACAGAGCTGAACAAAAACTAAGGCCACTTTCACACGGTCCGCTTACATCCGACTCCCCGTAGACCTAACATGGGTCCAGTAAATTCTTTTTTTTTTCCTCCATCGTAAGACTCGATGGACATGGATGTTCATACTACTCCGATCAACAGGGGTTCTGCGCATAGATTCCCCTGCTGATCGGAACTGACAGCGCCCGTGTGAAAGGGGCCTTAGTCCCTGTAGCATGCATATTTTTGTGCCTTTTTCTTTTGGTACTAGCACCAGCAATAAAAAAACTGGGTTCATGATTAGCTTTTGTGAACTAAATTCTGGAGACTTGTATACACTTACACTCACTCACTCTGGGCAGTTGCTGGCCTCTCGAAGATGCATACCAAACACTGCAAAGAGAAATGACAGCCAGGCTTATATTAAAAATGGATAGGGAAGGTGGAGAGGTAGAAGATTTACATTAACTGAAGCGATGGAAAAGGTAAATAACAGCGAAGCCCTTGTTAAGGAGAACTATGGGGTTAGGGCTTTCCCCCATAGTTCTCCTAAGGGTAACGGGAGGACACAAACTAGCGCCCTCCCGTCACCCAAAGCTCAGTATACCGCGAGCTACAGCTCGTGTTATACTGAGGCGCCGGGACGGATCACGAGAATACTGTCTTGATCCACCCAGCTGTGTGACTGACAGCTGGCTTTGCCTATCTAGAGGCAGAGCCAGCTCTACCCGCCCCCTCCCCCATCAGTTCCGCCAGTCAGCGCTGGAGGATCGGGGGAGATCCCTGCAGGGTGAGTGACAGTCACGGCTCTCTGCACGGATAGATCGAGGAGTGAGCGAGTGCCGGTATGTGTTCGCTCACTTCCCGATCTATTGAGCTGACCTGTGACAGTTCCATTGTCACAGGTCGGCTCAGATTATGAGGCTGAGTGAAAATCACTCGCCTCATATTTCTGCTTTTTTAATTGCATCTTTTCTCTCGGCCAATGAAAGAAGGGTTCTAGTTTCTATTGGCACTTACAGCCACTTTGCTTCACTTTTAATGAACCAGCTCCAAGGCACTCCCATCAGTATATAACCAGCAGAAGGTACATGTGAAAGTACAGTCGTTCCCTGATGTTGAGCTCTCTTCCTTCCTCTTTCAAAAGTATCAAAAAGCAGCTCTTGCCATCTGCTTTCATTATAAATTGCATGTTGCGCCAAATTACTCTGTACTTTTTGTTGTTAAGCAATTAGGAAGTTATCCTTTTTTTTATCCTTTTTATCCAGTTATCCTTTTTTTTTTTCCCCATCTTTTCAATGCCATGGAAGTGTATAATTAGCAGGGGACAGTATGGAGAGGTTTTGATGCAGGAAATTCAGCTGACATTCTTGGAGCTCAGAATTCTTTTTTTTTTGCCGAAATTATGATTTGATCCTTTTTAGAGGTTGTTTTTTTTTTCCCCCTTGCCTCTTGGAGCACCACTTCTGGGATCTGTGAAGAAACTGAACTTGGACATGTATTGTTTTTCAGCTACAGTAAGGGATAATTAATTTCGCACCACAGCAAGTTGAGTAATGTAGGCTTTAACAGTGCACTGTAATGCCCCATACGGCCGTGCACGGAGTTGTACGTGCCGGCCTTTTCTCGTGTGAATTAAGCCTAATATGAAATTCAGGAGCCATATTGCCCAATCCAGGAGTCGGAAGAATTTTTTTAGGAGGCAGCTCCATTTACAACCAGAGAATCCCCTTAAAAGTTATGTGCCAGCTGTCATTTTTAAGGGTCATTGGCTACCTGGCTCCAGGGATTTGCCCAGCTCTGTCCTGTAATAATGTCGAGTAAGCACTTTACATAGAAGCTATATAGTTTTTTTTTTCCCCCAGAAATATTTATTTTGAACTGATCAGTCACATTCATATCTAATAAATAATAATAAAAAACTGCAGTAAATTTCCTTTCCTCTACATATTTTATAGGCTTTTTATCTGCTCAAACAATGTTGACATCTACCTGGTAATTTTTCCTTTTTTGAAAACGTACACTATGTTTGCTCTTCTTTCACAAGATGGAATTAAATGGAACTTAATTAATGCCCTAACATGTTTTAGCTTTTTGTACTTTTTATTCTTTCTGTTAATGGTTTGCTTGCAGAGTGAGGAAATATTTGTTAACATTTTTGTCTAGCTGTACTGAATGTTTATTGGCCCACAAAAGGAATTCAATGGAAGACAGATGTTAATGTGTTTTTTATTTGTGTTTTCCAGGAGTCCGCGACAGACGAGTTGAAGCGGTCTGTGTTATTTTTGTCAGCAAGACTCCTCAGCATCGTATGTAAATCAAATGTATAGGCCGTTTGACCCCACCAAGAGTCGTATAAAGATGCACGCCACCCATCGTCTTAGGAGCGTTGAGGTGGCGCGAGGGAGAGCTGGCTATGGTTTTACTCTTTCTGGACAGTCGCCTTGTTTAATAGGTAGTGTGATTAAGGATAGCCCTGCTGAGTTTGTTGGACTTAAACCTGGGGATCAAATTTGCGCAGTCAATGAAATTAATGTGAAAAAGGCATCTCATGAAGATGTGGTCAAATTAATTGGAAAATGTTCTGGTGTTCTTCATATGGTCATCGCAGAAGGAGCCCGTCACATAGATTTAGGCTCTAGTGATGAGGAAATTGCCTATTATGAGGGTAAGACTTGCTTGAAGCCAAGGCCTGATTCAAAAGCAATGGGCATAAACAGAGCAAAGAGAGTTGTAGAAGAGATGCAATCTGGAGGAATATTCAACATGATATTTGAGAACCCAGTATCTGGTGGAAAGACGGACAACCATGCACCAAAACAGAGATCAAGGTCAATGTCTGCTTCACATTATGAAATGAGAAGGGAGAAACCAAAACACAATATGGACTTTCTTTCAACAGAAGAAATATCAAAAATGATAAACGGCGACTCTGTGTTCTCCAATGGGGTTCAGAACCTGGAGGACTTTGAGCTGGACGCAAGTATCTTAAATGTTGGTATGATCGTTGGCTATCTTGGCTCTATCGAACTTCCCTCCACAAGTTCCAATCTTGAGTATGAAAGCTTGCAGGCTATCCGCGGGTGCATGAGACGCCTAAGAGCTGAGCAAAAAATACATTCCCTGGTGCTCATGAAAATCATGCATGACAACATCCAGCTTTGCAATGATAAGGTGGGTATTCTAGCTGTGTACCCTGCTGAGAAACTGGCGTTTAGTGCCGTGTGTCCTGATGACAGAAGGTTTTTTGGACTCGTTACTATGCAAAGTAATGATGATCAAAGCTTGGCACAAGATGAAGAAGGGGTTTTGAGGACATCTTGCCATGTGTTCATGGTGGATCCGGAATTATTTCACCATAAAATACATCAGGGTATTGCCAGGAGATTTGCATTTGAATGTACACCAGATCCAGACACCAATGGATGCTTGGAGTTCCCACCATCTTCGATGCCAGTTCTACAGTTTATATCCGTTCTTTACAGAGACATGGGTGAGTTGATTGAAGGCGTGAGGGCAAGGGCATTTCTCGACAATGATGCTGATGCCCATCAGAATAACAGCACCAGCAGTAATAGCGATAGTGGAATTGGGAATTTTAACCAGGAAGAGAAAACGAACAGGGTGTTGGTTGTTGACTTGGGAAGTGCCCCAAATAAACACATTCCTCATGGACTATGGGAGAATCCTGCCGGCAGAGCACAGAATCAATCTGTTCTACACTGGAATGGATATTCCAATGAGGATGATGGTAATTTTCCATCAGCAGATAAACCACAGAACTACAAGAAGCATTTGGGTCCATCTGCACGAATTGAGGTTCCTGTTATTCCACCAAGAGGACCACCACATCCTCCAAAGAAAGCTGGCCCGCTAGATGTTGCAGGCCAGAAGAAATGGTTGCCTGTTCACGTAATGCGAGATTGGCAGCAAGGGAATGTCAGTGATCAGGAGTCCTATGCTGACTCCACAGATGGATGGTCCAGTGTTAACTGTGGAACTTTACCTCCTCCGATGAGTAAGATTCCTGCCGACAGATACAGAGTGGAAGGAAACTTTGCACAACCTCCTGCATGCAAAGATGACTGGTCAAAGAAAGCCTTTGATGTACATAATATTTTGGGGGCTATACATTCATCTAAGAAGTCCAGAGAAGATCGAAAGGTAGGGAAACTTCCTTATGAATACATATAGTCACATATAAGCTGTTTTTTCCCCTTCTTATCCTGTAGTGCAGTGACAGAAGAAATATATTTCTTGGGAACATTCTACAAGACTGTGTACCTAAAAATAAATTCTAGTCAACATTTTTATTTCTCTGAGCCTTTCTATTTGTTGTCAGTTGCATAGAACTGTATTAAAGTATAATTAGAAAAACTTTTTTTTAAAGTTTTGGATAAAGTATGTCATGCTTAAATCCTATGTCAAATCTTTTTCCAGCTCCCTATTGTCTCATTTCTTAGACCATTGTTTATGAATATGTGTCTACAATGGAATATTTCATTTCTATTCCTGTTTCAGTGACAATGCAAAATTTTAACCCCCCCCCCCCACCAAAAAACATGGGTTTAGATAAACATGTTCAACCCCATTATCAATGCTGAGCACTTGACTGCTGTTCCTTTCATCCAGGAATATCACAGGATACTATACAGTAGACTTGAGACAGGATGCAGGGATCTGGATATGCCTTCCAGCAGGAGCTTCTTTTGCATCATGCATCCCCCCCCCCCAGGTTTACTTTAAAGTGAAAGTAGTGCAGAAGATTAGGAGAGCACTTGCAAAAATGCTCTTGGTTTGGCCTGTTCCAATGATGATGTTAGGGGGACACCCCCTGGCAGGTGACATGGGCTTACCTGAGGGGCGGAGTCTAACTACCAGCCGGTGTTCACCAGAGCTCCTGATGGTGGAGATGGGCTAGGCTGCTTGCTGGTACCCAGGGTTGCCCTGCCAAGGGATGGATGAGAACAGGAGGGCATCTGGAATCTGTTACTATTATCAGCCGTACTGGCCTGGACCCTGTGAGATCCATTAGTATAGGATCTCCTGGAAGTCCTGGCTGGGATTCTCAGAGGAGAACGGTAAACCCTGACAGGTATTCTGAGCTTACTAAAACAGATGAGCTGTCTGCTCCCTCCCTTGTCTCTTATCAGTTGTAGAGCTGCAACAGTTAATCGATTAAGTCGATTAAAATCGACGATTGAAAACGTTGGCAACATTTTCGATCGTCGATTAGTCGGCTATCGATTGCTTAGCCTGTTCGGGGCTCACGCGTCACACGCTGCTCCCGACGTGCCCACCGCACAGGCCGCCGCCGCATAAGCCAATCTGGGATTTGTAGTTCCTCTATAACTGGTCAATCAATGGTAATCTGCATTGCACAGTATAATCATTATACAGCGCAATGCAGAATACCAGCATTTACAGAGGTCTACATATCCCAGCAATAGTAGCTACCATCTTCATTGCATGCTTTGTATGCTACCAGTGCTGTCTTCCTTTTTCAATGATGATGCAACTCATACTGGATGCTCCATGGAGTTGTACCATTCAATCATTTGGCTTTCCTTTAGAATGTAAATATAACTCCGTATTACAGATCCCTTAAAGGAGAACTGGAGGGATTTATTTTGCGATGTGACCGTTTTTCTTCCCATACAAGCAGAAAGGAAAGCAAATACAGGAGAACTAAAGGGTTAAGGCTTTTCCCCATAGTTCTCCTTAGGGTAACGGGAGGAAACAAACTAGCATCCTCCCGTCACCCTAAGCTCAGTATACCGCGAGCTACAGCTTGCGGTATACTGAGACGCCGCAGCCGGAAAGGATCCGGTCATTACTGTCGAGATCCACCCAGCTGTGGGATTGACAGCTGGCTCTGCCTATCCAGAGGCAGAGCCAGCTGTGCCTGCCCCCTCCCCCATCCGTTCCGCCAGTCAGCGCTGGAGGATCGGACAGGGGAGGGGGATCCCTGCAGGGATAGAACGAGAAGTGAGCGCGCGACAGTATGTGTCCGCTCACTTCCCGATTTACTGAGCCGACCTGTGACAGTTTCATTGTAACAGGTCGGATCAGATTATGAGGCTGAGCGAAAATCACTTGCCTCTTAATTCTCCTTTTAAGGGTATTAAATATGGAACCTACCATGGTCAGCTTGGTTTTTAAACCGTCAGGTTCCAGGATGTACCCTGGCTGCATTTGTTCTAGGTCATTGACTCACCATATGGTGAAGTCAGCGTGACACCTTAAGAGCCCGCACCTATGAAAACCCAATACAGCAGCGGTACCTTCACATATCTGTTCCCAACGATTCACTTGACCCATATGTGCAAAGGTGAAAAGACCAATGGTTTGAAAGTGCAGAAAGTATTCTGTAGTCTTTAGTATACAACAGATGAACATTATATTCTACCTAGGGGTGGACAATTAATATGGATTTTAGGAGCCGGTCTGCCCAATCCAGGAGCTGGTAGGGTTTTATTTAGGAGTCCGCTCCATTGACAACAACTAACTTAAAAGTTAGGCGCCAGCTATCATTTCTAAGGGGCATTGGTGACCTGGGTCCTGGGATTTCTCCAGCCCCGATTACGCAGAGCGTTATAGAGAGAATAAATGAGGTTAATGACTTCTTCATCCTCCTCCGGTAACAGTGGAGGTTATTTAGAGATCATAAGGTTTTTCTGCTTGCCTTTGGCAGCCGTGTTGGTCAGATGCCATACATGCATCACACAGTAGAGCGTCTGTATTTATGTGTAGTTATCTTGGCTCAGCATGCATCTCTGTGTCTGTCTTATAGAAAACACATGAAGCCGTAAGCCCATTCATTTTCCTGGATATTAATAAGCGGGGCTGCCTTTCTGTGGGGACGTTGCCAAACTGCTTGCAGTGAAAGCTGTTGCAGTAGATAAATGTAGTGTAAGTGTGGTAGAACCGCTGTAACGGACATATATTTATATACTGCAATACTAATGGATCTCACAGGGTCCAGTGTGGTCATATGCAAGTGTGCTCATATGCCATTGTTTTATAGCAGGCCAGAGACAAAAGGATATAAAGAATTATGATTTTGGGGCTCCAAACTTTCTAAAAACAGCAGCTCAGCCACAGTTCCACGTATTGTAATGTCATAAATAACGGGAATTGGGTGCGCAGTTCATGTTAAACAGGCTTTTTTAAATAGTTCATGGCTTATAAAGGTGATTCTGTACATGTGCATGAACCATACAATTATTCTGAGCAATTTGGAGCATTTCTTGCTTTGCGCACCATAGTTCCATTGTGCTAATGTTTTGTCTAAGGCCGGCGCCATCTTTATTTCTGGCAGCTTTCTCTTTCCTCAATTGCAGACCTGCGTGTGAAGTGAGCAGAAATAAACTCCCCAGAAAATGAGCAATCATTGCAAGAATGAATGACACACCGTATGCCAATCATACTTTGTTGACCGTTCATTTTGGCATCTCAGAGATGCCGGGAACAGGACTAGCAAGGCATTTGTGCAACAGAGGGAAAGTAAAAGCAGGACAAACAGGTACTTAAATGCTACTCAGAAGAGCAAGAGAGCCGTTTCCACTGTAGGAAGGTCATAATTGTAAGTTACATGATCCCTCTCATCATCCAAACTAAATATACTAGTTTGATTACGGTCCTGCTTTAAAGCAGAGCTCCGGGCAAATCAAATCTTAACCCTTACAATGGGACATAACACAAGTAATTATTATTTTACAAATGATGGTGCTTATAGTGCTATAGAGTAACACTAACCCTAACCCCCTAACACTAGGTTTATACGGTGAGCAATAAAAACGACATGGCTGATCTTACAGCAGAACTCCAGGCAAATAAAATCTTAACCCTTGCAGTCGGGCTACCTCTGCAATGCAAGGGTCAAAGGAGAATTATGGGGAGAGTGAAATGCACTTATCCCCATAATAGAGCCGACGTGTGACACTGCAGCTGTTACATGTCGGCTCTATTGATCGGGAACTGAGCAATCACATATCGCTGAGTTCCCGATCTTCTCCCTGCAGAGAGCGGTGACTGACAGTCACTGCTTCCCACGGGGATTCCACCCTCTCCTCTCCGATTCTCCAGTGCTGAGTGGAGGAATGGAGAGGGCACAGATGGCTCTGCCTCTAGAGAAGCAGAGCCAGCTGTCAATCATGAGGTGGGTTGGATCCTGACCACTATCATCAGGATCCATGCCAGCTGCTGTGGCTCTGCGCTGTCCACATATAGCAGGCAAAAGGACAGGAGGACATTAGTATATGTTGGACCAGGGACATAGATACCCTGGAGGGGGCAGTGTAAGAGCAAGCCGGGATTAAGGTTGGGGTGAGTTAACTTTGTTATTTTTAGCTCCATAGACAAAATGAGCACTTAACCCTTGCAATGCAGGTGTAGCCCCTTTGCAAAGGTTAGGGTTTATGGGTCTCTATCCAATGCAGGCAGATCACACCTGCCTTCTAGGGAACCATGTGTTGCTTGTTTACAGTGGTTCCACCGGCCCGCACATCTCCCTCATCTGGCACCCTCCGCACGCCTCCCCCTCGCGGGACCCTCCGCACGTCTCCCCCTCGCGGGACCCTCCGCACGTCTCCCCCTCGCGGGACCCTCCGCACGTCTCCCCCTCCCGAGACCTTCCTCCTCCTGAGACCCTCTGCACGTCTCCCCCACCTGAGATGCTCCGCCAAAACATCAAGCTGGCATCCCTGGAGCAGATTGGCAGCACAGAGTATATAGGAAATTCATATAATATTATTCTGCATTGCTGTCTAATGTATTGCTGGGATTTGTAGTACTCTATAGCTGATGGTATTCTGCATTGCTGTCTAATGCATTGCTGGGATTTGTAGTCTCTCTGCAGCTTGGAGTCAGTGGCAGAACTACCAGGGTCTCAGTGGTTGCAGTTGGGACCGAGCCCTGGCACTCCACCACTGTCCTAAAATCAGTCTGTAGGGCTTTAAAAAAAACAACCTGTCACATGACACTAAAAAAAGGTATTGTAATTGGTATTGGTGAGTACTCGAGGAAAAGTATCTCGTACTTGGTCTGGAAAAAAGATATCGGTGCATCCCTAATTGTAATGTTTCTGCAGTTATCTCCCCGTAGTCTATGTACAGCATGTAGAAAATAAAAAATCAAGCGAATGTTGCAGTTTATTTTATTTT